ACTGCAATCTCCTCCCCAACGCAGGATCCGACACCCTCCATCTCATTTACTGGGTTGTGACAGGCCCCGAGCACAAGCTGCACGGCTCCTCTCCCCGCCCGCCACAGCCCCAGCCCCAGCAAGCTGTTCTAAAGCGACCGACCCTCCCCCGGGAAGTTAACATCCTGTCCACCGTGACTCTCTCAGTTCTGCTGCCAGGCATTCGCTCTCATTCACACCCCTCTTCCCCCAGAGCCCAGCCCAGCAGCCTGTCCCTGCCTTAGCCAGCCCTCGGAACAGGGCTTTAGGGCCCAGGAGCACGTCCACATTGCGATGTTGGGACAGCGCATCCAGGAGGACTTGCCCCTCCCTCTGGAAGAGGAAGACCAGGGGGATGAGTATGTCGCTGGTGCTTCCATCTCCCACCATCTGGAACAGAACCATCTCCTCGCTGCAGCTGCCTTCAGCGTTGTCTAACAAGGGGAAGAGCAGAGTGTTTCCGGGGCACAGCTGGGCGCATCGTGCACACGGCCACAACGCACACACTGCACTCAAGGGCAGCTGCTGATGGGGGCGTTTTTATGCAGGTAGGATATTTGGTCTTACTTGCACTATACACAGTTACGAGCAGGGGGAGAGGCGGGCTCAGACGCCAAAGGTAACTGCAGTTCCTGCCTCTCCCATAAACCCTCTACCTAGCAAGCAAGGGTTCTGCAATGAGCAGACACCTCAGCAGCAAAGATGATTCTGGTACACGCCCCAGCTCCCAGCCCCGCGGTGGCGCTTTTGCCTTCACTCCCCGACACGTCAGAGCCCCCGGTGCCCCCTGCGCCATCGGCGAGCGGGACGCGCACACGCTAACCACCGCGCTGGAGACTCACCGATGAAAATCGCCCCCACGGCGCCTGCCGTCTGCAAGTTCCTGGCTTTGGCAGCAAACATGCATTCGCCTCTCTGGGCCAGCGCCACCTTCCCATGTACCTCCTCCTGGTTGGTGATAGCGGCACAGGCCTGGTACGGGTCACTCTGCACTAAGCTTCCTTTCACCTGCCAGGAGACAGAGGCAGGCGAGCTCCCGACAGCAAGGCCGGTCT